GAGGCTGCGTACTTTAAGGCTGCAGACCCTGAATTGGGAAACAGCCAATATGTGCAAGCTTGTAAAAAAGATCAGTATCATTTTGTGTTTTGGCTCTTTGATGGGCCACAAGAACAAGGCAGCTGCCTGCACACAGTGCACTGACATACTGTCGTTCCTTATATAGAGAAATGGAACAAAACCTCCAACAGTATAACTAAATAAAAAACTTAGAGGGAAATTTCACCGAAAGTGGCTTGCGGCAAATATGCTTTGACCTCGGCTTTACTCTAATCTTAACTCACAGAGCCTAAAATCGAATTCTTTACAGTGGACAAGCTTTCTGTCTGCAAAGTCCCCACTTTGTGAAACACATTTGTGCATTAACATCCCCCATAGACACCTCTTTACATTGTGTAGTAGTCAGTGTAGCACCAGCAGTAATAAATTGTCTGCCTTTATGCCTCAAGTCTCAGACTCACACCCACGTACACTGTAGGGTTCCTGCATTAAGAGTCAGAAAAGAGTAATTCAGTGATGGACATCTGACACTGCCCTCACTAGTGTGTGTATATGTGGTTATGCAGTCTCCGGAGGCTTCAGCCAGCAGTCTTGTGGGTCTCTGGGATTAAATGGAGGCATTAGGCATCATAAATGAGCTCCATTTGGACTGTGGCCTCGGGTCTCCCTCCCTCTCGCCTCACCCTCTGTCTCTGCTTAACAGCAGCATGGCAGCAGTACATTTAAACTGCAAGTTTCTCTTCTTGCGTCCATCTTTCTCCCAATGGAACTCTCCTATGAAGGACCTAAGATGCCAGAATTTAGTTTATTATACCAAGAATTCAATGTAAATTTTCTGCATTTATTTTTGTATAAGGTAATTTTTTAAAGTGATTACAGAAATATAGAAAGATACTGAATTTGGAGGGTTTTAGGACATTAGTATGGTGGATGCACAGGAAAAGGATGCATATATAAATACATTTTTTGTCATTTTATTAATATTGATAAACGTAAATCAAAAACGAAACGCAATGAATGGCTGCATTTATTTTTATGTTGTTGTAACATATTTATATATTCAGTCATTTTTCTTTTTTTTTTTTCTTCATTTTTGATTTTGGCAGTTTCAATCCTCCGTACGCTCGATCCATCACACATATGCTCAGGGCTTGAACAACAGGTCTCACTGCAGCACGGCTTCCTCCCGGTCCATTTGTCAGTTAGCACAGACAGATTAAAGCCATGCATTTCCACAAGTTCCCTCACCATATGTCAGGTGTAGTATGCTGGCTGCTGTTGACAGCTCTCGCCAGGCACGGCTCAGCTCTGCACCAGATTGTGATGAGACAGATCACACTGCAAGTGCAGATACAACCCCATGTCCAAAAAAAACAGAGACAGGAACAAAAGAGAGAGAGGGAGGAAAAAGGATGCACTGCTTTGCAAATCATTTGAACCGTATCTGGATGCGTGAAACTAGTATAAAGAGCATCTTAAATGCTGAACATGAGAAATACTAAACACGCTCATTTTGAATTTGATGACTACAACCCAGGCTGTTCATCAAGTCCTCGGAAACCTAACATCTCCTGTTTCGCTTGAACTTGGTCAAACTTACAAAGATCAACTTTACTTAATATTCTTCAATGACCTTTTTGTTCCTAGTAAATCAAACAGAACACCACTGAATATATTTCACATTTGATCAAATACTGAATTAGAGACGATCTTTGGTGTCCAGGTATTAAACAAGTCCTAACAAACACGCACACAAATTAAACACGAGTAGTTGGTGGAGATCAATTATTGCACATTCAGCATACCACCTTTGAGTTTTATGTGCAGTTTTGGCGACTGTTGTTGCTTTTA